CTGAGAAAAAAGCTTTAACATCGAGAAAAATATGGGGGTATATATCGTATTTCCTATATGTCGCTCAGTCGAATTCGAAATAGCCTTTTTTTTTTTCTTTTCTTTTCTTTTTCTTTATACTTGGTAATCGATGCGACGTGTTTAACGTAGCTTTCGTAGATAGCACGCGAAAAAGTGTTCATTTCCTAAAAAGTCACTTTCCATTTCACAAATGCATGGATGGATGACCCGATCGTTTTTTAAGTACGCGTCTCCGCACCCGGTATATCGGGATCTCTTTGCGCGGTGATTCACACTCCTCCCCGTTTGGGGAGTGATAGCTTTTTGTTGTAATTTTTTTTCACCCCCGAGTACGTTTTCGCGAGTTTTCATCTTTACATTCGAAAGCGTCAAAGCGTTATTTATACGAATGAATAGTATGGCACGTCTCATTGAATCAAAACGTTTTCCCTTTTGTCCTTAGTTTCCTTTCATTTGCTCCTCGATTAAATCACCGCGGCTCGTTCAACTCCATCGCGTTGAATGAAGTGAAAACGGTCGGGTCATCGGATAAACTTTGCGAAATAGTTAGTAATAGGCCATAATTTCTAATCGTAAAGTATGAAATGTATCAACAAATTTGAAAAACTTCCCTCGCTCATCCCATTAGGCAATATTTTCTCTCTCTCTCTCTCTCTCTCTCTCTTCGTTCCTTTCTCTCCTTATCCTCTTCGACTTTCTTTCGTTTTCGCGCGTTTTTAAAGAACGCATAACCGTTCGTCAAAGGACTCGTGAATTGCCTAAACGACACCGCGCTTTCTAATACACACATAATAAAGTACGTCTGCGACGCACATGAGTCGAGCGCCAAGTTTCCTCGTCGATATCCAGCCGATACACGTTTCGAAGTGTTATCGAGAGACGCGAGTTCGCGCGCGCCGCGAGAATAAACCTTTCAATGAAAACAACGACGTCGGAAATTGCACGAAACGAAATGATTGCACTATAGAAAAATAAACTATTCGAAGTTACATGTCGACCATGCCCTCTCTTGCCCGCCAACTTCCTCTAGACCGGAGACAAGCGAACAGAAGGTTCGCCGGAAGAGAGATTCGCGCGCGATATCTCGAGTGCGTGAAATCGTACATACGGCCACGTTCGAAGGAGGAAACTCCGCGCCTGCGGCTCTCGTTCCTTTCCTTGACTAAAGGCGAAGAAATCGATATAATTTAATTAATAATTGACAGATAACCAATTAATACGTATAGGATGGCCCTATGGCAAGAAGGCGCAACCTCCTAAGGTTCAAACGACATAAACTTTTCTAATTTTAACATCGCCCTGGACCATCCAGTACATTGATTGTAATTATTTCCCGCAGTATTTCGTTAACCTATATTTTTATAATAGAAATCATGTATCTGTATGTATAGATATCTCTCTCTCTCTCTCTCCCTCTCTCTCTTCCTAAGTTTCCTTTTTTCTCTTTTCGACATGGCCTCGTACCGTCTTTAAATGTACGCGAATTCGTTTCCACGGATCGAACGAACGTTTTTCACCGTGACGTGTACCTGTATCGTTTCTCTTTCCTTTTTCGTGTCTTTTGTTTCTCTCTTCTTCCAGTCAACACCTGTACAGATTCGAAATTCCATTAAGCATTTATACATTTACACGTGACGATCGTGCGATCGTGCGCGCTAGTTCGCGTGCCGCGAAATACCAACTCGGATCCTCTGGCACGCGCGCATGCGCGCAGGATTTCGTTTTGCGCGATTTGAACGTGAAAATCTCAAAA